ACACACACACACACACACACACACACACGCGCACACAGAAAACAAGCATGAATGCAGAATGAGCATGAAAAGTCACGGCATAACTGCACAGCTGTGAGGCGTGGAAGGAGGCAGTGAGTGAAGAATTGAAGCACTCAATCAACTCTTCGCCATGCACTTGCTGGCTTCTGCATAATCAAGGAGAAATGGGGAGAGTAGTCTTGCGTAGCCAGAATTTTGAGCATCAGCATCAAGTCTGGTCCACGCAGAAGCTTGTTCTGGTCAAAGGGTCAGGCTCCTTTTAATTTAATTTAAAATGTAATTTAATTAAAATGTTAATTTAATTTAATTTTAAAAATCTATTTATTTTAATTTCATTACATTTTTCATATCAGCTATTTATTCATTTGCACCAGTGTTTGTATAGTTAACTAAAACTTTTACAAAATTTTGAAATAACGCAGAAATAAAAAAAAATATATATAAATATTTAAAAATTAATTAATTCATTAATTAAAGTTAAAAGGACATTTAAAAACACTAATAAAAATGACAAAAGCAAAAAAATAACGAAAACCTAAAAAGAAAGAAACTGAACATATAAAAAATATAATAATATAAAAAATACTAAAATAATGCTGATTAGCATATGGGTGTTTCTGCAACTACGGGCACTTTTAAGTCCAAGCAGTGAAATTTTAGATTTATGTTCAAATTTGTCATATGATGCTTTATAAATATATTCACAGTGTCATTACACACCTTGACAAAAATATAATTAATGATTAATGGATTTCATATAAAATTCTGAAGCATTTACAGGTACAAACACCATTTTTGTTCATGTACCACAACTCTGGTCACAATGTTGAGATACGTAAAATAAGCTAATTGAATTACAATTTACATTATTTCAAATGGAATGGTTTAATATACATATACATTTACAGCATCTTAAATATTTTTGTATTATTTACTGATAATTTTTATGATTTTTTCAACTAAATGTGCCTGACCCACACTTTTAAGTCCTTACCGCAACAATGAAAAAAGGCTTTTATCATCACATTTTATCAAAGACAAACAAGTCTAGTTTCTATAGAAACAGAAATCAGCACATTGCTGACAGACTGGGTCACCTCACTACCTCACTCACAAGATCCAAAAAATATAAGGTAAATATCATCTTTTCGGTGTCAGTATTTATTGTGTGTCCTTATCATACAGCTTAGTAATTCTGTACTTTGAACTACATTTTAAAAATAAATGTATATTACGGTTTAATTCATGTATATTAAGATGCTAAGAGTCAAAACTAATGTAGTAGACCTGGCTAGCTGCCAATTAGCTGCAATATTAGCAAAAATTTAATTTCCGCAACATGTCTTTACTGCAGCAAATTTAGGTGTTGTGGTAAAGACCTTGTGTTGCGGTAGAGACAAGTTTGAGGTTTACTGTATATTAAATTACAAATATTCAGTCTATTGTAAATTATATTTAAACATGACATTTTGTAACCCTAGATGAGACCAAATTCATCAACAATAAGATCAAAGAAATGCAGAGGAAATGAGAAAAGACCCAGAGGTATGTAAAGTATCTGCAGAAGGAAAAAGAACGTTACAAAAAGAGAAAGGAAAATGGGCAGATAAAGAGTGTCTCCCAGCTGACAAAGAGAGAGAAAACTCTGAAAAGAAGGCAGTGGAGGATAAATAAAAGAAACCAGAGGGCAAAACACAAAGTACTGCATGCCTCAAATCAGTAAACAAATCAAATCACTTTAGGAGATAATATTTTTTAAACATGAAAACCAGTTTGAGTTCTTTACTGCAAAACTACTACTATCTTTTACACATGCAATACCTTCTGTTTTCTGTTTATTTTACTGTTGTTCTGTACAGTAGCCTGTTTTTGATTTCATGGCACTTTAACATTGTGTCCTTACCGACACAAGATGTCATTACCGCAGCTCTGCTTTATTTGATTTTTTGTCCCCCACATATTTTTAATATCAGTATTTACAAAACTGCACAAAATTTGAAAGCTACTGAAATATAACATTTTTATAGATATTAAAAAAGAAAAATGTATATAATGAACGTTACTGTAACGTTGCGGTAAGGACATTTTGTAAGAAGAAGAGTTGAAAAACATTAAAAAATCAACATGTTCCAGATTAAAATCTTAATCGCAATTTTGTTGACCTTTTTATATGTATTACAGACTCTGATGGTTAAAATTAAAATTCACAGGGGTTGATTTTTCTAAATTTTGGAGAGTCAAAAGTGCCCGTAGTTGCCCATATATATGCATGTTGTTTAATATAATGTAATATAACAATGTAATATAATACTATAGTATATTATATTATTTTATATTATATTTCCAAAATGCCATTCATCTGCATATTGAATTTTTTTTGCGAGTTATAATATAATATAATATAATATAAAAGACATGGGAAATATAAATGTTAATTAATTAAATAAATGAACAAATCAAGCAAATATCATTAATACTAATAATTATAAAATTACTGTTACAAATATTACTTAGCAATTACAATTTGAAGATTAAAAAACTCATAACCTTTTGAAATACATTGTAAAAGATTTAATGCACAATTGAATGGCTATTTATTTAGTTTTGGAATATATTGTAGAGCTGCCGCTACGCAAAGATTATCCTAGCTAACGATTAGTCATTGATTTAAGGCATTTTATGATATTAATTTATGATATTAATTTACGGTGTTGTCACATTTATTGCTCTGCACATTCAGAGGGCTGTGGGACACAATATAATAGAGCCCATCACTTGGCTAATATCTTCAAAACAGAATATGTAGGCTATGACTTACACCAACATAAGCCGGCATATGACTTAAATTTACGGGCTTATGTACCGCTCTCATTCGACCCCAATATATTATACTATAACAAATTTCATTATACTGTAATAAATGTTGATACCTGAACCAGACTTTCTTCTGGTGTGAAATGACTTATTTTTTCCTGTCTGCTGCCTTTCATGCCACAACTTAGGATAGTTGCTAATGAAAAGAGCCAATTAGATTTAATTTTTAATTAGATTTTTTTTCAGCAATATTCATTAGAAACTAGACGGACTGTAAATTGTCCAAGAGAATGATAGTGAAACAATAAACCAGAACTGACAGGAACCGATTAGTACTGAACAGCTGTATTTTTCCACCATCACTGTGGTCAGCTGTCTTATTACTGTCCTAAGACTTTCTGACCCGAAAGAATGACAGAAAGATGGAGATATCAAATTATGAAAACATGATGGGTAATTATGGGCAGCTGGCATATTTTATTACCTTGCCAGTGGCATGGCGCGACAGAGTGGCAGAGGGTAATTGATCTTAATTACTGTGCCCAAATGAAGGTCATATCACCGACACAGAGAATGAGACTGGGGGACAGATGAAAGACCAGCTTCATACAAATACACAGCTGAATATGATTGTCTCAGGATCAACAATACACACACCAGCGATTAAAGAGAAAGTCATTGGCAGGAAGAGTCAGGAGGAATAAGGCTGTTTTTACTGGAGTCTGAAACGGCTCGTCACAAAGGAGAACCTATTTTTTCCTGCCCTTTCGTCTTGCTTTAAAGGCCTACACACACACACTAAGGAAACCAACTGAAAAAAGCACTCATGTCATTTGCATGCCTTAATAAACCCATATGACAATTCAGACTGCTTCAAAAGCAAAATACAAGCCAAATAACACAAATTTCAGTCACCTTAATGGAGGGCAAGAGGGAGGTGTATTAGCAAAAATAGTGCAAAAATGTATATTATAACTATAAAATATTGTTTAAAAGTTTGGGGTCAGTAACTATTTCTTCCAAAAATGCTTTTATTCAGCAAAGCGACACTAATGACATTTATAATATTATAAAATATATGTTTTCAAATAAATGCTGTTTTTTTTTAACTTTCTATTCATCAAAGAATCTAAATCACAGTCAATCATATTATCCAAATCAAGTATCATGTTTCCACAAAAATATTAAGCAGCACAACTGTTTTCAAATTTCACAATAATAAATATTTCTTGAGCACAAATCAGCATATTAAAATGATTTCTGAAGGATCATGTGACACTGAAGACTGGAGTAATGGCTTCTGGAAATTCAGCTTTACAAACTTACAATTTCGATATATTAATTAATCCTTTGAGCGTTTAATTATCTTTTCTTTTTCCTTTCAGCCCAATATTTAAAAAATGTGTTGGCATCGTGTGTTAGAAGAATCACCTTTCCCCCACCTCTATATTCAAACTACCACATTTCACTCTCCTGTGTGTCTTTTGCTTCTGGGACGAAAAAGATAACAACAAACCACTTCCCTCCTCTCCAAGGCGCACTTCTATGTGAGCTTTTTACTAAAATTAGGAAGGATGCGTATTAGATACAAGCCCAATGAGAATCTTACAGGTTTCAAAGGGTCTAAGATGATGATGTCTTGCACTTATTATCATGTTTTTTTCAACACTGACATTTTAACAGCCGGAGTACAATACAAATTTTGAGTGTTAATTAGTGTTATAGGGCTGCTGAACATCGCCCCACAGTTATGCAAGTTTAATTGCATTTGGCCACACAAAATGTCTTCATAAATGTCAACGAATATTTAGCCGAGTCATTATTTTGGCGAAAAAAAAGCATATCTTCTCAAGAATCGAAATGTCAGACAGTCAGGTGGTCAAAAACGGACTCATTATGCATTTTATAAACACTTGGTTTTGTGTAAAAAATACATTATATATAAATATTTGTGAGGCTCAGATATGTCAAGAACACCGGCACAAAAAATTGAAAGATGAATGATGAATTAAAAAGATTTTTACTTTACTTGATTTTATATATACAGTATATATATATATATATATATATAACCTTAATTTTATGAAGCTACGAGAATACTTTGTGCACAAAGAAAACAAAAAAATAATGATTTAATAAATTATCAGAGACAGAGAGACACTCACTCTGTGATCTCCTCAGTAACCGTGTGCTCCACCTGCAGACGGGAGTTGACCTCGATGAAGTAATGTTTACCGTGTTTATCCACCAGGAACTCCACTGTGCCTGCGTTCTCATAACTGACCTGAGGGAAGAGATGGAACCGACTGAGCTATGATAAATACAAACTTTTCAAAGCTTCACAGGCACAATTTACATCCTCATGAAAAATAAAATCAAAAATACTATGAAATAAAAAAAAATAGAATTTTTATTTGGCACATGTAGTGTTGGGTACCGAAACCCGGTACCAATATGGCACCGGTACCTATGTAACCGGTATGTACTAGAACCGAATCAGAACGTAGATTTCGGTGCCTCATTTCAGTGCCATGCTTGAGTGATTGATTGAAATATTTGTCCTCTGGTTCTCTGAAACGGACGCAAGAAGCATCATCACCGGCACCGCACGTGAAAAATAATTTCCCGACTGCGAAAATGCATGTGAACTCAAGTCGGAAAGCTCTAATAATAAAATCCAACAAATCTTTGTAGTAACGCGAGTGTCCATGTTGTTTTCACATTCCGACTTAAAAGCACAATTCACAAAATGAGAGTATCCGAGGAGAGCGTGAATGCAGTAATTACACTTGCTCTGATGGAAACAGGTAGCCTTCCGTTAACAAAGCTAAACATGCTTAAATTAAAATGCCTAAAGCTAAACTTCCCTTGTATTCACATTTCTAAACCTGTTGTCCAACAAAAGAGAACATTATAACCTTTTTACTCCACAACACCAGTCAAATGCTTCCTTTTGTGATCTGATGTGGTTTCTTGTCACAGAATGAGGCAGAAAATATGTTCCATAGGCTGTTACTTTAAAAAAAAAATACATCGATTAGCAATGGATTGTAAATATACTTAATTATTATAAAAATACCAGAGATGGCTTGAATAACACAGATAAACTATATTGTCGCAGTCGATTGTTTATGGTCTTTGTTTTATCATTCAAAACATTTATATGTTCTGTTTACTCAGTCACAGATATAATAGCATGTCTTTGTCCATATAAGGGATTTCCTTGGAGGGTCATGAGTTCCGCTAGTTCTGTGACTGGGTATGTGGATTTTCTGTGCGAGGGCGCCCTCTGGCGTCCAGTATGAATGAAACAGACATCATGTGTTTATAGTGCTATCGGTTCAGGCACCGGAACCGTTTTAAAAGTATCCATTTGGCACCAGCATCGAAAAAAACCCAAACGATACCCAACCCTAGGCACATGGTGTGATGACCGAGTTTCGTAGCAAATAATCTTTAAAGGGATAGTTCACCTAAAATTGAAAATCCTGTCATATATTACTCACCCTCATGTTGTTCCAAACCCATAAGACGTTCGTTCATCTTCAAAACACAAATTTTTGATGAAATCAGAGAACTTTCTGACCCTGCATAGACAGCAATGCAACTGACATGTTCAAGGTAGTAAGGACATCATTAAAATAGCCCATGTGACATCAGTGGTTTAATCTTAATTTTATGAAGCTACGATAATACTTTTTGTGCACAAAGAAAACAAAAAATAACGACTTTATTCAACAATTTCTTCTCTTCCATGTCAGAATTTGATGTGCATTCACGACAGCATTTGTGTGCTTTCCTCTGCTTGTAAACAAGGTGCAGCCCATCTGGGTTCTACATCAGAATGCCAGCTCGTACGTCGTGATACTCTCGTGAATGCACGTCGAAGACCGACACGGAAGAGCAGAAATAGTTCAATAAAGTTGTTACTTTTGTTTTCTTTGCACACAAAAAGTATTCTCGTAGCTTTATAAAATTAAGGTTGAACCACTGATGTCACATGGACTATTTTAACAATGTCCTTACTACCTTTCGCATGGACTCTTTTTTTAAAGATGAACGAAGTTCTTACGAGTTTGGAATGACATGAGGTTGAGTAATTACTGATAGAATTTTCATTTTTGGGTGAAATATCCCTTTAAAACGGCTGATTAGATAAGTGTGACCCTAAAAAAATATTCACAGTGGTAATCAAACTTTCTTCTAAACCACCACAGGTACTAGACAATATTGAAAAATTGTGTACATAATAGGATTTAAAACCATCTTATATCCATTTAAAAAACATTTAGGCTTACATATTATATTGGTTTACACTTAAAGTTTATATTTCGTGAAGATGCAAGCAATGAAGCAGTTGAGATTTGTGAATAAAGTTGGACATACTTGTATATATCCAACTTTATATAAAGAGCTGGGTGATAATAAATTTGCATTTTGCGACAAAAAAAAATCAAAAGAAGCAGTTGAGATTTGCTATATTCTGTAGTATATATTGCTTTGCATGAGTATGTACGTATGTACGTACATGTATGCAGAGGTGGAAAGAGTACGAAAATATTCTACTCAAGTACATTACATTAATGAAATTTTACTTAAGTACAAGTAAAAGTACCAGTCTAAAAATCTACTCAAGTAAAAGTAAAAAGTAGCTCATTTAAAATTTACTCAGAGTAAAAATTACTTGGTTACATTTTAACAGTGGGAGGGAGGCAAAAATTGGATAGGCCAAGGGTGTCAAACTCAGCCCTGCACAGTTTAGATATAACCCTAATTAAACACATCTGATCCAGCTAATCTAATTATTTAGGCTTTTTTGAAAACTACATGATATGTGTGTTGGAGCAGGTTGGAAGTAAACTCTGCAGGGCTGCGGCCCTCCAGGAACGGAGTTTGTCACCCCTGGGATAGGCCTATAAATCTCAAACCAGTTGTTTTTAATTAAAGGAATCAGTTATTTAGAATAATAAGACATTTGGGCTGTTACCAGGCAAATTAAATCCGTATCAACGAAGCTGATCTTTGCAATGCAGAGGAAACACAGAAGCTTCATCGGAAGTGGCATTTAGATGTATTTTCACACCGTTTAATGCAGGACATGAATGCATTTAACCTGCATTTACAAATGCAGAAATAATGTTTTGATATACATTTACATGTATATACATATAATACTCATTTGAAATTATAAGAAAAAAAAAATCAAAAGATTCTTTAAATGTGAAATTAAAACCGCCAGTAGGTGTCAGCAAGTCACTGTTAATAAGTGAGTCATTGCGATTGAACCGAATCATTTAAACGGTTGATTCATTCAGGAGCGAAATACTATCATGTTGCTCAGAGACGCAAAACTGTGCTATGGCGGCTGTGTTTGGAATTATTTTTGTTGTAGAAATAGAACAAAAATAGGCAATATGGTGTCTAAAACGCAAGTCTCGTAATATGTAATCATGCTGATTTTTGGAGGAAAAAACGGCATTCTTCGTGTGATATTGATTAACTATATGAAATTATATAAATATGTACATTTTCTGCCCCTATATCTTCAATTTTGTGATCATTCTAAATGCATTTTAACAGACTGAATCACGCAGTGAAAGAACGCAGTCTAAATGTGCGTGCACTAGTCTAATCTACTAGACTTCAGGGCACTCTGTAGGAGTGTTTTGTTTGGTTTTTGGCAAAATACTGATAATGTCAAATCGCACATCGTTAAAACAACAATTACGATATTATCGCAAACGATATATATCGCACACTCCGCACCACTGTCTTTTTGGCTAATTTGTGCAAAACCTCTTGCTAAACTGTCAAAGCTTCATTTTAACCACCAATGCAACGATGCAAGTATTTAGCCTCTCCTGCCCATTATTTACTGCAGTAGTTTCCAGGGAGCGATTTTGTTTTTTACTCAGTAATTAATGTATTTTAAAATGTAGCGAAGTACAATACTCAAACAAAATATACTTAAGTAAAAGTAAAATTACAGATTTAAAAAATTACTTTAAAAAGTAGAAGTACACAAAAAAGCTACTCAATTACAGTAACGCGAGTAAATGTAATTCGTTACTTTCCACCTCTGCATGTATGTGAATAAAGTTGGATATAACGTGTATCAGAAAATGTTGTTTGTCTACCCCAGAAGGTCAAACTAAATAGTATACATGCCATTTTGTTATTTGTTTTATTAGGGTGACAACTGTTGCATCCTTATTACCTGACTCACATGACTGAATAGTTTGAAAGACCTGCATAATTTTGTTAAAAGCAATAAACTTAAAATGGAAAAAAGTATAGTTCATGTAAAATAAATTTGTTTGTCATAAAATAACTTCAGTAATAATTGAGCTTGACAGATGCATTCAAAAGATACAGTATATATCTTTACAACAAACTACTTCCATACTGATTTTTGTTAGATAATAGCTTGTCCAAAAATTCTCTCTCCAAGGAAAACTGTATGATTCTTTAATGGGACACCAAATGCTAAAAGTGCAACTACAAATCAAAATCATAAACAATTACAGAATCTCATGTAAAAAGTTCTCAGTTGCTGTTTTTTTTTTTGTTCCATTTTTTTATGACAACTGTGGATAATACCAAGTTACCACATTTTTCTTGCAGCAATAATAGTCAACTATGATATATTTTTGTGGAAATTATGGTACATTGTGGTAAGGAAGGATTATTGGAAAGGCAGCAAGACAGCAGGTTGCCTCTTACTAGGCCACGTCTTGACACACACACACACACACCACATAAAGCCCAATAGGGGTTCCATAATTCCGTCCCCAAATTTCGCAGAAGTGCAATCCAATTCGTCCTTAGACCTGTCGCAGCTGCCAAATTTCCTAACGCAACACGTTTGGATACACACCGCCTCTCTCACACACACAGACGTGTAGTGTTTGGAGAGTAAAGCATCCTTGATAACTGGCTGCCAACACACACTGAGATCAAACAACCAACCCTTCAAATTCCTGGCTGATATTCATACTCACACCCGCTCGAAAATCTCACAAGCCCTGCGAGACCGCGAGAAGACATGAAGACTGTACACTTAGAATTGAGTACATCAATCATTCTCAGTACTTTCTCTCACACACACACACACGTTGAAATGCAGTGAGCAGATTAAAACTATTAGACCGTCGCAATGAAAGAGATGAAACTAAACAAGACGGCGCACAGTGCCCACAAGAAGAAAGGTACAGACAGGTAATTAAATGGGTAAAATGAGAGGAGGAAAGGATGGAGAGCAAGAGAGAGGAGGACAGATGGCAT